AACTAAATAATTCGATTACTCTAGAGTACGGTATTGTCACTGCACTTTGACACGTACGGTGAAGATCAAACTGATACGATTCTCTATAATGGGTTAATCTATTTTACTCAGTGCAATCTCTATTTAGAAGGAGTTCCCTAGCTCCTTTACTCTGGTCAATGCATTAATATTCAATAATTCATGCACGTCTAATTGAGAGGGTAAAAAAACAAAAACGTGCGTCTCACCTTATCAATAACACGTTTGGTATATGATAGTAAGATCATCAATGTATAACGTACCGAAATTATTTACTTGGAGGTCAGGAAATAAACAACATAGCAAACACGTCAACACGATTGAATTGGAACCATGCTTGCGTTTCCTTTCATCGGCTTCAACGATTTGCAGTACACTGTGATAGGTGCACGCAATCAAAATACGAGAAGTTTAGGTTGTGACGTCATAGTGATCACAAAACAATGACATACATTCCTTATTTATATGAGAATGTATCTTTCCGTTTTGGATATGCGGTCATATTGTAAAAATGAATTGTGTCTGGTCCTTTCTGTTACAGACATAAACTTCTTAATACCAAGTTGTTCATTTAAACACATTTTATTTTATAAAACACAAATAGGCTAGATAAAGGTAGCATTAGTTGTGTTAGCCTCTTCTATAGGACGAAACTATAGTATCGCTACAACACCTGTCTACTGGTGGATGTGAGAGGCTCCATGCAAACTACTCAGGGTTGTGAACCAATGTTGGTAATTTTGAATCAGAAATGTTTTGTTGGATACGTTAATATTGAAATATGCCTACCGCACATAAACACTAAATTAAAGTTCCAACAGGGTTGCTTTCAAAATCATCAATGCTTTCAGAAAAAAAAGACAAAGGGGGAAAAAAGGGGGAGGGGGGTTGAAGGAAACAAAAAAGAACAAAACAAAATACTATATGGTTGTCTACATTTTGGCCATAAATAATTCAAAGTGTATAGAACAATTTCCCGATCCTGAATTTCCAAAGTCAATTGTAAAAACATTTCTAGTTGATAACTTCTTGTTCTTTCAGCATGTAAACATTTATAGGATTATATAAAAGAGTAGCTTCAAGCCTCAGAATCTGATTTGTAACTATTATACACTCGATGTCCCAGCGATATAAAATTAGATTTTAATGTTTAAAAGATATGCATTTGATAGAATAAACGAAAATGTAATTAGAAATTAATGCGACTGGAATTTAATGGCAATCCCTTCAAATCGAATTTTATGGAATACCTATCCTTTTTTCATAAAGTGTTATGAATCTGTAAGTGTAAACTTTCTTCTTAACGCTAATACATTGCAGAAATGTCGTCTCTGAAAGTTAAATTAACTTAAATCGATTCACTCAAAAGACTTAAATTCAAGAAAGGAAAAGGCAAGAAGAACAGAGGATAAATTCTAGAAATTAGCTAATGTTTTAATGAATTTGAACTTTTTCTTCAACAACTTTATAACTTCAGGAAAAAACCGAACACATCGAAAATTGAATAAATCAGTTCAATATTAGGAAAAGCTTCAACATGATAAAAAAAACACCCAAAATAGCATGTTGACAGTACATAATCGACAAACAAAATTAATCAAAATAGAATGCTATCAAATGCGAATAAGTACCGTAAAAAGTGGAGAACGCGAAAGAATGCATTTTATCTCACACTTCACAGGTGCTTGGCGGTGAAAAGACAACTCACAAACACTATTATTCTTAAAACGTCACCAATGCGTCATCGCTTTATGCAGCGTAACAAGGGCAACGTCATCTTTTTTGTCACACATAGCATTCGCCATCGACATTACAGCTTAGATCATGCAATGCTCATGACAAAGAAAAAACTCTATTAACTTTTGGAATCTAAATTGAAGAAGCAATATTTTAGCGTAGAGGGTGACATGATGCAGTATTTGAGGAAACATAATCCTAGATATTTTAATAAAAAAAATCAATCCACCTAAAGTTTCAATGTACCAATTATTTGAGCATTTCAAAAACATAGCAAATTCTGGAGTTGATTTTGCACAAACGATTTTGGAGAAATTTGCACCTGATAGTCTGTCACTGATCCATGTTTTCTGTTTATTGATACGGCCGTCAATATTTCCCATAATATCAGTATTTTTGTACATATTTTACTCTTTCGTTCGGCTATCATTCAATCCATACCGTCTTTGGTTTAAACTGTGTCTTATTCAGTTAAATTGAGCATGTCCTTTCACAAACGTTATTTCATGAAAATGATTGATTAAGGAGTACGTACTTCTAACAGGTGTAACAAGCCCTTCTGGTGATACTTTTCTATACAGTAACAAGTTGGGGAAATACATATGTGTACTGGGAATGAAAACGCGAAGAATGGCAAGTGAAGATATACTGATGTAGTATACGCCGTTGAAAGAACGGGTAATAATATTGGCTTAGTACACTTGATATAAGTTAATACTAAATATTTGTGAATCTTCCACTTGGTTTAAATAATTTCTGAGAAGCTATGAATATTTGAAAAAAGTAATAAATGTATCTCCTGTCAAATATGTCTCTACCAGACCAACCTTCACGGTGATGTCCGCACGGCCTGGACACGTGATACTGTCTACAGGTCACGTGTTCCTGAGTCCTGGACTATGATACAACTATGGACATGTGACTTTTGGACGCCATGTTATGCATTATTGGGTACTGAACCGCTTAGATATATGTTTTCATGATCGTAGCCAGCGTGTAACAATCTCCTTTAAGTTATTTATCTATTTCTGTTTATTTTTTCATGACAATAGCAAGCGCCATGAAAGCAAATTGCCATGGAGTCGGCGTAAAAAACCCTCGAAACACTTATGTCTGGCGGCGTGGTTTAATAGAAACGTAAAATTGTCAGCCAGCAACACGTGGATTATTAAATTCTAAGTTCTTTTGAAAGATTCAGGTTCTCTAGAAACGATATGTGTCAACAGAAGTGGCAAAAACCCTTTAACTTGACTTAATGCGTGCCCTCAGTGCCGTACCATGTGTCTACATTACATAACATTGGACAGGCTGTCATGTATAGCCAGGATTGAGGCCAACAAGAAAATTCCTCCACCGGAAATCAATCTTAACGCTCCTTCTTCACTGTGATACTGTGATGATTACTTCTACAAAATACCGATATATGTATGCATATAAAAGTTTATTTCATGACTTTCCAATGTGTTTTCATTTTCATATCGAGGGTTTTAAAGCTCTTCCATACAGTCTCTTACTAGTGATATCCATATTGCGTCCAAGTGCAATTAATCCTTCCTACGTTCCCTAAAAAGGACAATTGTGGTAAAATAATGTGTCATTGCTGTTTGACGTTAAGTGTTACAGGTAATGACACAGGAAGACTAAAGACGAAATGTACTACACTGATGTTGCTTAATATTGAGTCAGGATTTTACAATGCAAGAAGCCAAAGAATATGTACTGTTTGTAACAAAAATGATGTAGAAGATGAAATGCGTTTTATACTACTTTGTCCAGCTTATTCTGAGTTAAGAAACACATATTTAAAACAAAAGTACTATCGACATCTAAGTGTTATAAGTTGTTTTATTATTATCATGCAAAAATGTCAAAAATATAAGTAAACAAGGTAAATATTTACTGCATGATACTGGTAAAAGAAAAGCCCTTGTAGGACAGTAAGATTTGAATAAGTAATTATCCTCCGCCATCTTTTATATAGTACTTTGATATGAAGCATGTGCTACGTTATTGTATTGCATTTGGTAAATAAAGAATACTTGAAACTTATAAAACGGGGTTTTAGCCAGGAATATACATATATATACAAAAGTATAAAAAAATATATTAAAATAGAAACAACGACAAATGTAAAAAAAAAAAAAAAAAAAAAAAAAAAAAAAAAAAAAAAAAAAAAAAAAAAAAAAAAAAAAAAAAAAAAAAAAAAAAAAAAAAAAAAAAAAAAAAAAAAAAAAAAAAAAAAAAAAAAAAAAAAAAAAAAAAAAAAAAAAAAAAAAAAAAAAAAAAAAAAAAAAAAAAAAAAAAAAAAAAAAAAAAAAAAAAAAAAAAAAGCAATAGATGAAACTGAACGTCACAAAAATATAACAATGAATACTACAATTACTTTGTGAATAATAAAACGGATTGTTTCACAGTGTTCTTGTGCAAATTGAAACTAAACGTTTAAAGATATTGCTTTTTTTCAAAACTGAATATTTGTGAGTTATAAAACAACCTTTGTTCCGGTTTGAGAATACCTGGAACCGGCCGATTTGCCGACAAGATACATTGTTTAAACCTTGCAGACCTTCTGACTGTGTATATGAAATAAACAAATCACATTGGAACCCATTTTTTTACAATTCCATGATATACAAAACAAAATATTCCTGTTATCATTTAATAACAAATATTTCGCTGTTTATTTATACATTATTTATATAACAATGTATATCATTGGTAGTTTTACATACAGCTGTGTGTTTAATTTAACCGGCGGCGAGTTAAGAGGTATATTTACCTCCAAATCAATTGTAAAATCACATCCACGTGTTAGAGACAGTCCAACAGATGTACAGTACTTTACATAAACATCCAGCAATCGATAGTCAATCGATCGTTACCTTCACGTTCGTTCGTGTCCCAGTGTATTTTAGTTAATATCCGGGAATACAACAGTTACCCATTTTCAATCTACTATGTCAGTGTATACACAGCTATAGCACCCTCAGTCCTACCAGTGTGCGCTCAGTTAAACTGTGCATATGACAACACCCTACGCCCAATCAATTATCACACCGCTACGCGCAGCGTCCCTCTGTGCAGTAGTAGCCCAAACTAGTTCCTTGCGATGTCAAGATGCAATCTATTGATAGCTTAGGCCGGATGACGCTGTCCACATATCTACCTGGACAGATGGCAAGCTGGCCACTCGCGCGCGCTGGCTATTGTTCCGTTAGGTAGATATGTGTAGGTAGTGGCTGCTGTGTGGCTTTGGGTTTATACCTGATATCACTGTCAACAAAACAGTGTTCTGCTTGGTGGTGCTATCCGCCGTGGTTAAGCGTATGGTAGCTTTAGTCATCAGAGGGACAGTTGTTCATTGTAAGTCGAGTTGTGAAGGTAAACCATATAGGCGTACGTTTAGAAGGTATTCTACCCAGGTTGTTTGGATGCTGTATACAAAGCAGAGTAACGGAAAGTTCGCTTATATATTGGATATAAAGTACTTTCGTTGATCGTTTCTGAATTTAGTCGAAATGTATTATTAAGTGGTCTCCGAGCATCAAAACGGAGAACAAAATCGTATACTGTCGTAATGTCTATCGATTTCCCCTCCTACATGTGCTTCTATGAAAAGCTTTCGGAGGGAAAAAGCGTTTACACACATTTGGAAATTATCAAGAAAGTCGGCACTGGACAACACGTGGAACGTTTTCGGCTGTAACCGATTTATAAGGAATATATTTCAAAGAAATGAACATTACTCAACGATAACTTTTTAATTTAACACCGTGATGCCGAAATTTTTAACAAGAAATCAATCAGCCGTCATGTGGCCGTGATTCAAGATCGAAAAACGGTGTAAATCTGTCAACAAAATGGAGCACCATGCTTCATAAGCTGTCGGATTATTTATGACTGCAGAATTTGTGGGGAGGAAACACTTTGATTAAATTTCGTTATTCTGTGTTTTCTCGGAGGTGTATCTTGAAGAATTCACACGTTTTTGGTAACTTTTCTTCTGTAAGCATGATTATAGATGTGTAACGTCATCAGCGCTCCATTAGGAGGGGCTGGATGGTGGTCCTTTCTGGAAGCATGGCGCGATCTGGTCACCGGGGGTGTTGCTATGTTCTCCACCTCCGGGAAGATAATGCCAGGTTCATTCTACTGTTCGTTGTTTTGGGGATATATATGATTACGGGAGCTATATTGTTTATGATTCTCGAGCAGGATAACGAAGTGCTGGAGAAACAAGTGTATACGGATAGGTTAAACTCTTTTCTGAGGGCTTACCCGTCCATCAACAGAACCGATTTCGATGCGATCCTTAAGGTCCACGCGGAAGCAGAATCGGCTGGATTTGCTGGTACAAAACGACCACGATGGGATTTCCCAGGTTCCTTTTATTTCGTTGGAACCGTAGTATCAACAATAGGTAAGTTCTAAAATCGATCACTTCTCCATTAACTCAATGGTGGAATTCTATTTGTTTTTGTAGGCAAGGATGAAATTGTTTTGTAAAGCGATAAAATCTAACATATTTAAACATATTAACCTCGATGTACCAACTAAACTTAGGGTTGCTTACCGTAACACTGTGTTTAGTACCTGTTAAGAAAGTCCGGATATGAAAGATATTCAGTAGTAGTTGAATAACTTTCATTATAGATCCAACAGAATGTGTCACGAACCGCTTCCGGAAGTAGTACGGAAATATCAATATTTTATTATCAATATTCAATCTGTTCGGTAGCCTGTTATACATATCAATTCTTAAAGTCAAAAGTATTGATCCTATTTATAATTAAGGACGTCTGTGGCTAGTGTGGCAGTGTTCTTAGACCCAACACTGATGCCACCTTCTGCCGAGTCACTCCGCGGCGTTGTCAATATCTCATTAATGTCGCTATCCCGTGCCTTCATTGGTGAATGGTGCCGATGGCATAGCTGGCCTGATGATGGCTAGTCTTATTCTCTTTAAACTCGGCATACTATGTATATCATATGCTTAACATATTCGATATTACGAGTTATCATGTTCGTTTACATAGGGTAAACAGCAGTAGCTCATGGTGAACTCCTCTGAGATAACTTTGTTTGCAGGTACATAGATGTAAAAAAAAAAGCGTCGTCGTTGAAGTGATTATGTGACCGTTTCTCTTGGGATAATACGCATGATTACTTATGTTTATCTTATTCTTTAAAAACAATATGTTCTTATGCATGTTTAAGTTCACTCACTGTAATGTAAAAGGTGAATACTTGTGTTGAATCATGTGGAGAAAGGTTTCTGAAGGTAGTGGTCAAATACCCAGGTTATTATGTTTTAATCTGATGGTTATAGTGCCATTTGTCAGCCATTGAATATTCTACGGCAATTCTGACTGAAAGCAAAACAGCTGTTCGTCAGATTATTTGTCATTAGCTATTCGAATATTCCCACTCTCTAAACTGCATGCAGCGTTGTTATTAAAATGCATGATATACAGATCTCTGAAATCTTTCGGATGTCAGTTTGATTTTATTTATTGAATTGCTTTCCCACGCATGCACGGCTTGCCCAACTGTCTATCGATAGAAATGCTATGAACATCTCGTGCCTGTATAATGCCCTGTAGCAGATATCGTGAGAATCATTGTTCCGTGTACTGGTTCTGCTCCACCGAGATCGATTAGTACGACTGTTATAGATCGATCAGATACTGATCTGTTTGTCAGCCTCTGTAGCTTACACGGTCCATGCTGAGCACTGTGGGGCTTTACGATTACATGTCTGAACTCGCATGTACTGGTTACTAGCTCGAATCTGCTTTTTAAAGATATTATGTGATCATTTTGTTTTGATGTTTTGGTTTTGCTCTTGGCTTTGAACGTGTTTTAGAGGGGGTTCTATGTGCTTCACGCACAAAGGTACTGTGATTGGTCGGGCATGCAGGACTGAGAAGGTGAGAGGTGGAGAAATGTTGCCGCCTCCTCTACACAAGCACGTCAACTTTGTAACACTTTCACATTGGATTTTGCAACATTATTTCTATAGATGAAATGAAAAGTATTGTGACATGTACCAGTCTAATCAACATCGATATTATATATTATTTAAATCGGAGGGAAACCTTATTTCGGCTAAGACTACGTTTAGTTTGTTTATATACAGCAGAAAAACCTACCTAATAAAATTGATCATATGTTCACGAATTCGGTAAGATAAGTGGCTGTGATACGCTAGGTTGTAGTTTGCCTGTTATTTGTGACTACAGGAACACACACCTCTAAAGAAAGGTACATTGTACATTGCCAGCTATACGTATATCTCCAACACTTGTTGAGGTACATTGTACATTGCCAGCTATACGTATGTCTCCAACACTTGTTGGGCTGGGTTCTCCAGTTATTGGCAATGCCAGTCTGGTTATGATAGGTGGGTTTCTCATTGCACTACAACATTGTCATCTTGGTGCGCATTAACGAAATTAGAATAGGAATGTGTTGGTATTCTTGTCCATGTAACTGTAAACCGTCACATGACATTTGGACTATGATGGTGTATCTTGTCTATGTGACTGACGACCGTCACATGGCATTTGGACTGTGTTGGTATTCATGTCCATGTGACTGTGAACCGTCACATGACATTTGCACTATGATGGTGTATCTTGTCTTTGTGACTGACGACCGTCACATGACATTTGGACTGTGTTGGTATTCTTGTCTTTGTGGCTGTGGACCGTCACATGGCATTTTGACTGTGTTGGTATTCTTGTCTTTGTGACCGTCACACGACATTTTGGACTGTGTTGGTATTCTTGTCTTTGTGACTGTGGACCGTAACATGACCTTTTGGACTGTGTTGGTATTCTTGTCTTTGTGACTGTGGACGGTCACATGACATTTAGACTGTGTTGGTATTCTTGTCTTTGTGACTGTGGAACGTTACATGAAATTTTGGACTGTGTTGGTATTCTTGTCTTTGGAACTGTGGACCGTCACATGACATTTTGGACTATGTTGGTATTCTTGTCTTTGTGACTGTGGACCGTCACATTACATTTGGACTGTGTTGGTATTCTTGTCTTTGTGAATGTGGACCGTCACATTACATTTGGACTGTGTTGGGATTCTTGTCTTTGTGACTGTGGACCGTCACATGGCATTTGGACTGTGTTGGTATTCTTGTCTTTGTGACTGTGGACCGTTACATGACATTTTGGACTGTGTTGGTATTCTTGTCTTTGTAACTGTGGACCGTCACATGACATTTTGGACTGTGTTGGTATTCTTGTCTTTGTGACTGGGGACCGTCACATGACATTTTGGACTATGTTGGTATTCTTGTCTTTGTGACTGTAGACGGTAATATGACATTTAGACTGTGTTGGTATTCTTGTCTATGTGACTGTGGACCGTCACATGATATTTGGACTGTGTTGGTATTCTTGTCTTTGTGACTGTGGACCGTTACATGACATTTTGGACTATGTTGGTATTCTTGTCTTTGTGACTGTAGACGGTCACATGACATTTAGACTGTGTTGGTATTCTTGTCTATGTGACTGTGGACCGTCACATGATATTTGGACTGTGTTGGTATTCTTGTCTTTGTGAATGTGGACCGTCACATGACATTTGGACTAAGTTGGTATTCTTGTCTATGTGACTGTGGACCGTCACATGATATTTGGACTGTGTTGGTATTCTTGTCTTTGTGACTGTGGACCGTCACATGACATTTGGACTAAGTTGATAATCTTGTCTACGTGAATGTGGACTATCACATGACATTTGGACTATGTTGGTAGTCTTGCATATGTGACTATGGACTGTCACATGACATTTGGACTATGTTGGTATTTTTATCTATGTGACTGTGGACCGTTACATGACATTTGGACTATGTTGGTTTTCTTGTCTATGTGACTGTGGACCGTCACATGACATTTGGACTAAGTTGGTATTCTTGTCTATGTGACTGTGGACCATCACATGACATTTCAACAGTGTTGGTATTCTTGTCTTCGTGACTGTGGACCGTCACATGACATTTGGACTGTGTTGGTATTCTTGTCTTTGTGACTATGGACTATTACTTGACATTTCAACAGTGTGTGTATTCTTGTCTTCGTGATTGTGGACCGTCACATGACATTTTGGACTGTGTTGGTATTCTTGTCTATGTGACTGTGGACCGTCACATGACATTTGGACTGTGCTGGGATTGTTGTCCATGTGACTGTGGACCGTCACATGACATTTGGACCGTGTTGGTATTGTTGTCCATGTGACTGTGGACCGTCACATGACATTTGGACTCTGTTGGTATTGGTGTCTATTTGACTTTGGACCGTCACATGACATTTGGACTGTGTTGGTATTCTTTTCTTTGTGGCTGTGGACGGTCACATGACATTTAGACTGTGTTGGTATTCTTGTCTATGTGACTGTGGACTATTACATGACATTTGGACTGTGTTGGTATTCTCGTCCTTGTGACTGTGGACCGTCACATGACATTTGGAAAGAGTTGGTATTGTTGTCCATGTGACTGTGGACCGTCAAATGACATTTGGACTAAGTTGGTATTCTTGTCTATGTGACTGTGGACCATCACATGACATTTCAACAGTGTTGGTTTTCTTGTCTTCGTGACTGTTGACCGTCACATGACATTTGGACTGTGTTGGTAGTCTTGTCTATGTGACTGTGGACCGTCAAATGACATTTGGACTAAGTTGGTATTCTTGTCTATGTGACTGTGGACCATCACATGACATTTCAACAGTGTTGGTTTTCTTGTCTTCGTGACTGTTGACCGTCACATGACATTTGGACTCTGTTGGTATTGGTGTCTATTTGACTTTGGCCCGTCACATGACATTTGGACTGTGTTGGTATTGTTGTCTATGTGACTGTGGACCGTCACATGACATTTGGAAAGAGTTGGTATTGTTGTCCATGTGACTGTGGACCGTCACATGACATTTGGTATTTGTTTTATATACGAAACTTTTAGGACCATCAGTACAATAGTCTTCATTACTATTTTAAAAGTGATTGTGTTATGAAAGCCTTGTTGGTATTGGTGTCTATTTGACTTTGGACTGTCACATGACATTTGGACTGTGTTGGTATTCTTGTCTTTGTGAATGTGGACCGTCACATGACATTTGGACTAAGTTGGTATTCTTGTCTATGTGACTGTGGACCATCACATGACATTTCAACAGTGTTGGTATTCTTGTCTTCGTGACTGTGGACCGGCACATGACATTTGGACTGTGTTGGTATTCTGGTCTTTGTGACTATGGACTATTACTTGACATTTCAACAGTGTGTGTATTCTTGTCTTCGTGACTGTGGACCGTCACATGACATTTGGACTATGTTGGTATTCTTGTCTTCGTGACTGTTGACCGTCACATGACATTTGGACTGTGTTGG